CGCTTTGTCTACCATTGATAAACCTGCATTGAGGCTATTTTATGAGAAAATCCATAATTGGTTGAAGTTATCTAGTAAGGAGCTTGATGATAATCTTAAAAATAACATTGCAAAGAGAGATAGGTTGAAAGTCTTTGAGTAAGGTAGGATGATCAAGTTTTAGGATCAAGATGATATTTGCTTAATTGATAGTCTGCATTGCAACGGGATCTCAAATACTTTCTTTCATAAAAGCATAGATTTGTAGACAAATCCTATTCCATTGCGCGTGAATCGTGTACAACGTTAATCCCTATAATTTTAAAGATACATATAATGATGGTGAGTAGGCACTATTAAGTTAATTTTACTGATGTGTACTTAAGTCTGTTAACTCCCATATTAATGTGTACTTAATTCTACCTTCATCTCTCACATTCTATTTAATTTGAAAACTTGCCAAGGTCAAGGCATGTCGTCAAATTTAAGAACATTTAGGCTATAGTGGTATATGTAGATTGTCCAACAATAAGATTCTCACATCAATAGTAAAATTTGGATATGTGTTATGTAATGTTTATCTTGACATTACCAGGATAACACTCTTACACACTGTTGTGATAACTAGAATTAAATAAAATCTTAAGTAAAAGTTATCACAACCTATGGGTTTTAAAAGATAATAATTTGAAATAATAGGATCTTAAGAAAACTATTTTTTTTTGAAATAGTGAAGTATGCCAATCACTATACGCAAACTCAATGAACGCTTCATCATGTGAATTTTCTATCATAATCCCCAATGCTAGGGTGAGCTATCACCCGTTATAATAATGCAAGTTCAATCAACATATGCAAATATAAACTCATGCATATCATAGCAATTCATCATCCTCATGATTATCCAGAATTGGCATGCTTATCACAGTCCACATCATATCATAGTTTACAATAGATCATCATATAATTAACTTATCGCCAATCCAAGCTCACAATTCACATTTTAATACCATATAACATCTATATAAACATAATCATCAAGTGTTTCATTACAAATATGCATATTTATCACAACTTTTCAATATCATCAATTATAATCACACATCATGCTAACACATATTCATGTCATAGCCAATCTAGGCTTAACATTTCATATTCTAGTATTACATAGCATTTATATAAATATAATCACTAAGCATTTCATCATAATGAGTCATGTTTTATATTTGGGTAATAGTTTAAAATTACATATTCATCCATAAGCTCATTTTGCTTATTTCAAGCTATCTACAATAATGCTTAAAATGTAAATACAGATACAATGATATACTATAATTAAATTCTTAGTTACCTCAAGTCTTAGTTTACCAACTATCACATAAAATATTATTATTGGCATTTATTATTATTAAATATCTAAATTCCAAAATCGAGACCATCACATAAAATTAACAATACGTGAACAACTAATAACAGCAACAACAACAGATTTCCTGTTGATTTGTTTTTTCCTCGTAAACGATTTCCCGCCGAGTTGAGTTGAATCGATGGACTGTCTCTCCCTCGCACATGATTGGGTCCAATGCAGGCCAGAGGGGACTATTCATCGTCATTACCCGGTAGTAATGAATTTGTTTGTTTAGGTTTTCTTTTTTTTTTTAATGCATTTCAGTTTTCATTAAAAAAAAAATGAAAGAGACGGAGGGAAAGACTAGATGCATGCTTTCGCACCGCGTGTCCTGCACCCGAGCAACCATCACGCTCATCTAAAAAGTACAATGCCAGGTCACTCTCGCCACGTGCCAGAATTGCATGGATCTGGTTTTGCGGTGCCGCCAATGCCACCATTTAACGCCGTACCATCTGTTCTTGCACGTGCCCGTACCTTCCTACCGACACTGCCTCTCTCTATATCTGTCCGATCGTCATTGCGCCACGCGTCGCTCACATGTCGGCGCTAGGCCAATCCCTCTAATTTAATCGCATAGACTATTTTTTAGTTTTAATTAATTAATTTCTCAATACTGGTAGTAGTAGTAGTAATATTAATAGTGTACTGATAAGTCTCTCACATACATGATGTATGCATGGTTCATCATTCATAAAATCTTGAAGTACTCTACAGATTTAGAGAAGACAATGCATCGTGCATGAATTTCTGCACTAACGATCCCCCACTAGGTAATCATTCCTACTGCAGAGGCAAAATGAAACTAATTCAGTAATCAACATAATTACCGTATTTATTCTTTAATTGAAAAAATTTAAAAAGTTGGCACTTGGTCAATGCAGAGTACACATTAATTATTTTCCTATAATGAAAAGTTGCCACACATTATGCTAAATTAATAAGTTTATTTAATTATTAAATAATAGATGATACTTTCCTTCTTAATTTATAAAATATTTTTAATAAAATTATGCACACGAATAAAATTTTTCTTAAATACATTCTTAAATTTTTGTAAAACACAAATATAATTTTTTAAAATATCTTTCATTTAATATAATTTTAGAAGGAGGAAATATAATAACAAGATAGAGATAATATCAAAATAAGTATAATTAATAAAATCTTATTCTTGCCTAACTATCTCTTATATTTTGAGACTTTGAATCACCTTCAAAAGTACTCTTAGTCCTATTTATAAGTTATTCATGGAATTTAAAAAAGTTTTAAAATTCATTAATTTTATTTGAAAATTTAATAAATTTTTAAGCCTTATCCTATTAAATATATATCATGGGCTAGAGTGCATTTTTCTCTTAAACTTTTCTTTGAGAAGCATTAAACACCTTGTACTAATAAATGAAGTATTTTTTTTTCTCTTAAATCATTTTTCAAAGGAGCAAAAATTTTCTCCGTTAGTGATCCATTAATAGAGGAGATTTTTGCTCCTCTGAAAAATAATTTAAGAAAAGAAATGCCTCACTTATTAATATAAGGTATCTAATACTCTTCAAAAGAAAGTATAGGAGAAAAAATATACTTTAATCCTAATAACAATTAGAGGTGGGAATACAGGCGGGCCTGGCCCCTTATAGGCTCGGCCCTTTAGGGCCTAAGCCCTAATGCTCGATTTTCATTTTGACCTCCATTTTTCAAGCTCGGCCCTTATACTCAGGGCTTAGGGCCAGACCCGTAAACCCTTTTTTAAAAAATAAAAAAATTAAAATAAAAGTAAACATTATAAATAAATTAAAATATTTTAAAATTAAAAAAATTAAAATCATCATAATTTTTTAGAAATTAAATAACATACATTAGAAGTCTAGTAATAAAATTTAAATCTTCATTTAAAAAATAGTTTATTTTTTATAAATATACAAATATAATAATTATAGAAAAATAAAAAATATCATAAATTTTATACTATACACTGATATTTATTAAATTATATTAAATTAATTTTAAAATAAATTAAAATTAATAATAATATAATGTATTTAGGATTAGGTGAGCAGGTCATTAATTTCAAATACATAAAAAAAAAAATAATAATAAAAATAATATAACAGGGCTTGAGGGCAGCCCGGGCCCGAGCCCTATTTTACAGGGCTTATCAGGGCTAAGCCCTCAAGCCCGATTACTTTAAAAAAAATTATTTTTAAAACCCGAACCTTTATTTAAACAGGGCTTTCAGGCCCGACCCTTATTCTCGACTCTAATAACAATAACAATAATATTTTCAAATAAATTATAAAAAATGACCTTTAAAAAAATTAATAATAATTAAGTTTTTTAAATATTTTAGGTTATCATCTATAATTTTTTTAGTTAACTAATGATCTTTCTGAAAAATATTGCACAATTTAAATTTAATATTTTAATATTTTGCAGCTTTATATTAAAAAAGTAGGTAATGAACCTTCAATTCTAAAATTGAAAACATAATGCCTCGTATGAAAATATAAACCAATTAAGAATAATTGACACTTCAGTTTTAAATATCCATTAATTTGATTGTTTGTTGACAAAAAAATTATAGAGAATAATCTAAAATATTTTTTAAAAGATCATTTTTCTTAATAAATATTTTAGTAATATTTATTAAATTTTATTTTAACAAAACTTTAAGATGTCTGGTGTTGCTAAAAAAAAGTTCAAAAACAAGTTAGCATAAGATTATATATAATAACAGAAAATGAAAAAGTTAGAGGATAATTGATAGAGGAAGATTTTTGTTTATTTGAAATGATTTAGGAAAAAAAAATGTCCTACTTATTAATATCAGATATCCAACACTTTTCAAAAGAAAGTATTAAAAAAAATGTAATCTAAGTCATATATTATTTAATAATATACTTTCCCTCACCGATATTTAATAGGGGCCAAAAAAATTATGATAAAAAATTAATAATATAACTTATAAATATAACCATTTTTTAAACCCACTGTGTAAATGATGGGGGTAGCTAATTTTTTTTAAAATAGTAGTAAATGACCTCATAAATTCCACGTCCTAATCACAAGGAATCGTGACTAAATTTTGAAGAGACCATGTTTTTTTACAGGTCACCCAATTCCCCCCCCCCCCTAATTTTGGCTTAACAAACCAGGGAAGATATTACTCTCGCGCCATAATAGATAGTATACGATTCTAAAAGAATATGAAATTTGGTACGTTTGGTCAAATTAAGTCTCAACTCTCGGTTTTTATGAATCTAAATCTAAATCTTAACGATAATGAAAATTATTGTTGGTAAAAAAAAAACAATAATGAAAATTATTTGTTTTCTAGCACCGATTACATTTACTCAGGGCTCATGATATTTCATGACCTAGAAGAATTCGCCTAAAATTTGTTGTAATCGTTACGGGTCGCTTCAGATTTTGCAATTATAGAATCCCATCCAAATCCAAATATCTGATATGGATCCACAAGTTTATATTTTTATTATCACTCATCAACGATAATAAAAATTATGTCTTTGACAATAAGATTAATAATTCATAATTAATATTAATAATATAAATAAAAATACATTATTTCCTGGGTCGTAGGTCTCATTTCTATCATTCAATGGTTGTTTGTTCTAGGAAGAAAGCACACCTAGAAAAATTATGGAAACACTGATGATGGAAGAAAGGTTGTGGCGGAAGAGGTCTTTCTCTTCTCTTTCTCTACAATGTCTTTAGACTATAATCAATATTCAATGTTCAGTTCAATACAGTCCTTTGGTTTTTGTGGGTTTCAAGACCTTTCGACTTCAAAACGACATCTGAAAGCTTCGCTGCACTTTCTCCTTCTTCTTCGTTGCATCTTCTATGCCTCGGATCCACTCTGTTTTGTACAGAAAACACTTTCGTTACCATGGACTCAAGTAAGAAAATTGTCTTTTCGGAGCCCTTTCTTTCACAGAGAAGGAAAGTGATTTCTGGGTTTAGTTTATGGATTGTAGTTTCTCTTCTTATTTTCACTGTTATCTTGCTCACTAATTCCTTTAATCCTAAAGTTCAACTCTTTCTTCAAGGACCCGATAGTGTTGGTTCAAATTCTTCCTTTCCCTCTTGGCCCTTTTCATTTTCGTCATCATCATCATCATCTTCTTCTTCTTCTTCTGGGAGTAATGTCTTTGTGAATTCCCGGCACAAGAGTGATGAAGAAGGAAGTGTTCCTGTGGACAAATCTGGCGGAGTGAATCCACTACAGAAGAACCCTTTGGGGAATTTCACAGAGAATTATAAAAATGCAAGCTTTCACTCTGAAGAACAAAGGATTCAACAGAAAGAAATCCTTGAAACAAACGGTACTTTGGATTCTGGGAAATCAAATGTTCTGGATTCAGTAAACACTCCTCCGGGGAACACTTCCCAAACAGTTCAAGATGTAAACTTGATTGGAAATGAAAGAAGAACCGATGCAAGCAAAAGTCTTCTGGGCAAAGCCAGCAAGGAAACACAGAAATCTCCTGCACCAGAGTCACCAAAAGTTGCCAGTTTCAGTGCAGAAGATAGCAGTATGGATAATGTGAGTTTCATTCCTCAAGATTCGCATGCAGAGAAAATGAAGATCAGTTTCTATGAGAACTGCAACATTTTCGATGGCAAATGGGTAAGAGATGATTCAAAACCTTACTATCCCATGGGTTCGTGCCCTCACATCGATAGAGATTTCAATTGTCACCTTAATGGGAGACCTGATAGCGAATATGTGAAATGGAAATGGCAGCCAAATGACTGCGACATTCCAAGGTATGGTTTTCTTTTTCTATGATTCATTAGTGGGGCAATGCGCTTGTTTTGGTTTATTGTGAATTCAATTTAATTGCACAAGTGAATCAATTATAAGTTCCAATGTAACTGTCTTAGATGTTGATTGATTATTGATGGTATTTTTCAGTTTAAATGCGACTGATTTTCTGGAGAGATTGAGAGGGCAAAAGCTTGTATTTGCGGGAGATTCGTTGAACAGAAACATGTGGGAGTCTTTGGTTTGTATACTCCGACAAAGTGTCCATAACAAGAAACGAGTTTATGAGATCTCCGGAAGGACAGAATTTAAGAAGAAAGGTGTTTATGCTTTTAGATTTGAGGCAAGTTTCTGATACATTGAAAATTATGCCGAGTATAATAAACCTTGTATGTATCTCATTGTGGGATTTCTTTTTGATGCAATGTAGGATTATAATTGTACAGTTGACTTTGTGGGTTCACCATTCCTCGTTAGAGAGTCAACTTACCAAGGGAAAAATGGATCCTTTGAGACATTAAGATTGGATCTGATGGATCAGACAACTCATACCTATCATGATGCTGATATTATAGTGTTCAATACAGGCCATTGGTGGACACATGAGAAAACTTCTAGAGGGTGAGTGTCTAATCCTCTTCTATTCTTCAAGACCTGTGAGCACAATGACATTGTATAATTCATGCAGCCGATCCTACCTAGGAGGATAAGGCTTGTTATTGTATTCTTCAAGACCTGCATTGACTGAATTAAGCATTTGGGACTAACATAGTCATGCTGATTCTGTTGTCACAGAGAAGACTATTATCAAGAAGGCAACTTTGTTCACCCAAGGCTCAAGGTCCTGAATGCATATACAAGGGCTCTGACCACTTGGGCACGGTGGGTTGACAGATACATCGATGCCAAGCAAACTCAGGTTTTCTTCCGAGGATACTCGCCCACCCATTTCAAGTGAGTCTCTTCTTTCAGTAGACTTCATAATTTTCTTAGTCAATCGATCTTATTAAAAGTGTGTTTGACATGTTTTGTAGTAATCTGGTGTGACAAAAAATGAAAAAAGTTGTAATGTTTGTCGACATGGTTGCAGGGGAGGGCAATGGAATTCAGGAGGACAGTGTCACAAAGAAACCGAGCCGATATACAATGAGGCTTACTTACAAAAGTATCCTTCAAAAATGAGAGCTCTAGATCATGTCCTCACAAAGATGAAAACCCCAGTGACATATTTGAACATAAGCAGGCTCACAGATTACAGGAAAGATGGACATCCTTCTATATACAGAATGGAATACAAAACAGCCGACGAACGAAACTCTGCCGAGCAACACCAAGATTGCAGCCATTGGTGCTTACCCGGCGTACCAGACGCCTGGAACGAGTTGCTCTATGTATCCCTCTTGAAAAATGGAAAGGGAACTTGGAAAAGGACCAACTAAAACTCCCTGACAATAGTTTCATACTCACTTCCTGATTCTTGATACCTGTATATTTTAATTTTGTTCTCATGGAGTTATAGTTTCTGAGGAAGATTAGTTTGATGAGTTGAGATATCTGTGTTCTGTAATCATATCCTTATTAGCACGCTTTTGTAAGATTGGGTAAAGGAAAATGGAAGATGAAGATATTGTGCTGGTTTACACTTGTAACGAGGAATATAGTAGTGAATGACACAACACAGTTTTAATTCTGAACATTAACTTAAAAGCTTCAATCTCATTGTCTGAACCAAGCATTAGGTATATGATATTTCTTATCGGTGTCTGCAACCTTTGATATTGTCAGCACTACATCTCAAAATTTCAAATTTCGTCTCAAATTCTTCTCTTTATCCCATGAACAATCCTAAAATAGCTGAATAGGCATCTGCTTCTTTTCCTACCAATAAGAAATCAGCTTGCTTTCTTAATGATGCCTGCAATGGATGGTACAGGTTGTACTTGGCACCTTTATAAGAATCATGCATCTGAAGTGTCTACTCAAATTCCACTCTTTATCCAAGAATCATCAGAGAAAAGCGTGCCTCTGTGTGTGTGTCTGTGGAAGATTTGATATATCATCGTCATGTATGTCTGACATGGTAATCAAAAATTCCGTATCTGAAAGTTCTATTCTATGAAGCATTCATGGACAGATCTTTTGAAGCATAAGGCCAAGCATGAAGATTCTTGATTACTAGTATTATATATTTTTATACTGCTCACATCACCATGATACATACACACAAGAAAGGCCAAAACAGGACAGACAGAGAAAGAGGGAGTGGATGAAAGAGATGATCATCAGTTACCTATCTCAACATCTGCAGAACCAGAAACTGAAGAGAAGAGGAGAAAAAGGAAGGGAATTCAAGTCAGCTGCAAATTTGGACAACCTCAAGCTGTTTCTTTATTAGATGATTATACCTCAAAAAAAGAAACATTTAAGTACTACAGAATAAAAGCATAAAACATAAATATAGCCATCATAAGAACCCCTGAAACAGAGTCCATTGCCTTTTTGTGACTTGCCGGTTCACCTGTCTTCAGCCAAAGCCTCTCCCCTCCCCCTCTCCCTTTTGGCTTCTCTGTTTCTCATACAGAATGCTTTTCCCTATAAACCTTCTGTGATCAGAGAAGAAGCCATTAGCAAAAGCGCAAGTGAACTGTTAAAAATGGAGGAGCCTGAAGATTTTAGGACTCAGGACCCTCCCTTTGGTACTTGCCTCTCCAAGCTTCTCTAAGATCCATGGCTAGATTTTTGCCAGCACAGCTTCATACCCATCAGATTCAGAAACCAAACTACTCTTGAAGAAAGACTCTCACCCCCAGAAAGAAAGTGGACATGCTAAGTCTCTGACTATTGCTTTAAATAGCTAATGATTGAAGATAACTCACAAGTGGTAATCATCTATTCAATATCCAAATGGCCTCTTTGCTTTTTTTCGCTTAACAGCAAAATAATGATGAAGCTGTACTAGTGTCTTGCAACCATGTCCGTTTAATTTTATTGACTAAAATGATATGAAATAAATAAATGAATAATAATTGTGTTAGTTTATATTTCAGTACATCTTAGTCTTAACCTAATTGACCTAATTGCCCAACCTCTCTCTTCCTTGAATAAAGTTCTTATAAGATCTCAATTTTTCTTTGTTTAATTAATTCAAATGGTTTATTTCATGTAGATAATTTTTTTAACATTTCTTCCTTAATGTTATCTATTCCCCACTAATGAGCCAACAACACGTTCTACTTTTACGCATTTGTTTTTGTCACATATAGTCCATGTGGGTGAACTCAATGTGGAAGAATGAATCACGTCCAATCCTTCATACAAAAAGATTTCTATTAAAAAAATTGTTTTGTCAAAGAACAAAACAAAACAATCCATGCAAAAAAAATCAAATAAAATAAGTTTATAAAAAGCAAGCAGATCAAATTAATAATAAAAAAATTAGTAATAAGAATCCTCTCTAGGATATTTTATATACTTATTCACACAGGCAACTTTTTTATTAAATGTGCAAAAAATTTAACTGAGTTGAATCTTAAAAACTCTTCATTTTCAAACTCAATAATACAAACATCAAGATTTAAAAAATTTATAAATTACTCACTAATATAATCCTCATATTAGTAGCATGATTCAAACTCACGCTCAGCATGAATCAAATTTTATACCAACATAACCGACCTTCATTGGTAATTCCATGGGCAACTTAATCTATCAATAAAGCTTATCTAATTGGTGTTTTCTTCCTTTAGTATAAATATAAAATATATGATCAAACATGCGTATCGAAACTCCACTTGTGTTTGATTAGTGCTTGACTTTTGTTTATTGGAGGAGGCTTATTCCTTTGAGTGTTGCATCAGTGAATCCACTAATTGATACCAATCCCACCAATATTATTTAATATAATTATAGTATTATAATCCTATTTTTGCACTAATCCCACTTTTTGGCAAGACCCATGCCATCCAAGCAATTATATACTCCCTCTAGTTCCTACTGTATATTATAAGGTACTTTCCAGGTACATTTTTTTGTCCTTAATATAAGACATAATATAAGTATTAATTTCATTTTTTCAATATTACCCCTAGATAAATTCATTAATTATGAGAAAGAATGTGCTGTAAATTTAATTTTTTTTATTTTTTTAATATAATTACTCATTATTCATAGGCCAAGCTAAGTATGATCACATTGGCGATCAAACTCTCTCAACAAGTATTTAACATATGTATGGATCGATTTGATCAAGTTGTTAATCTCCTATCATAATCTTCCCTTTAATGATCCTTTTCAAGAAAGATTGATTATTACATTGTCACCAAGCGGGAAGCTAAGATCTATGTTTGCTTTATATTTTTTATTCTTCTAAAAAAGTAGCTATTTTGCTGTCTTAATGGCTTCAACATGCATTGGAGAGCCATTCATTTCTCTTTCTTTTAAGTTATCTAACTTGGTGGATAACCCTAACTCCTGGATGATGTAGTGTATGAATATTGTTAGTGGTTTGTTAGATTTTTTGTTAATATATTTTTTTTCTATAGTTAATTTATGTACCTCAAAATCTAATTTATCATGTTGAAAAAACCTTCTTGTATATATAACAAGTGCTTGAAAATATGTTCGGGCCCACCATTGATACGAGAGCCTTGTTGGCAATGGAGACAGATTTATTTGCCACAAATCACAAAAGTCGGAAAATTCTCTAAGACTTAAAATCAAATGCCACTAGCTAACCAAGATATTATAACTCCTTACTGGCTAAGCTAAGCCACGCACTATTTGACAAAAATTTTTATTTTTTTATAATAAAAAATTTAGGTAAATGAATTCTGGGAGTTCACTAAAATTAAGATATACTTCCAAGATCAATTATTGTTTACAAAAGTACTTACAGTAAATCGTCTACTAACAAGATCATCATATTAGCAACTAAATTTGATTACATAATCCTATGGGTTTTGGGTCAAATTCTTACCAATTAAACTAACATTTGTTGATAATATATTGTTTATAAAAAAATGTAAAATTTATTATTAGCTCTTCACATTTGCATAAAATTTCAATTATAGCCCCCCGTTTAGATCAAATTTCAATTATGGCACTGTGTGATGAATTCTAGATTTGCCCATGCTCCTAATCTCATAAACTAAATTATTATATATCTCTTATATTTTGATTATCTTATTTTTATTTTTTAAAATTTATTTTATTTTATTTTATTTTTAATAACCAAACGGTATCTTAGAAAGAGTAATCTCCTCCAAAGAATTGCATATATGAATGATATAGCAGCTAGACTATCCACTCAAGCTTTTGACTTGCCTTTTCTTTAGCAAACAAACAAACAGTGATTGGATTTCGAAATCACTTTTAGAATCTCACTTTGCTGTTTACTTATTTGGTTTTATTGTTACTGTATCACCGAGCCACTACTATACACCATATTAATTTACATATATATATAGATATCAGAAGGTCGATCGGGAGATTAAATTTCTAATAAACTTTTCCTCACGGCCATTATTATGAGAAAATTTTTCAAACTAAACCCAAGAGAGGAATTGAAGAACGTAACTACATGAGTGAGAGAGAGAGAGAGAGAGAGAGATTGGAAAACAACCCTAGTTTTGCTGGAAAAGTAGGTTTTTGAACATTGATTTGTCTCCACTTGATGTTATACTAATCTTGTTTTTTTTCTTTACAGTAAGCATCATTATTGTCCACCACTTGGGAAAATGTTAAATTTATGTGAGTTGGTTTCGATTTGGAATGAATTTTCGGGTCTCTAGGCCCTCAAATTCTTCTAAACTTTTGAGGATTATTTTTCTCCTTCTTCTAGGCCGGCTTCTTCTTATCTTCTTCTTCTTCTTTTTAATAAAGAAAATTACGTGACGTTTGAAAGACAACATCTCTAACTAATCCGAATCAAGACTTTTTTAAATATAAGCCCTACCATTAAATATTATATTTATAAAATTCAAATTTAAAATCTTCAATTAAACTAACACAACTCTTTTTTGCCAGTTGAATCAAAATGCTTATTGGTCGATTTATTGATATTTTTATTATTTTCAATCTATATATGATGATTGACCTACAAGGTCTCTACCATCAAACAGTGTTACATTCATAAAACTCAAACTTTTAATTAAATTTGTGCAACTCTCATTCTAGTTTAACCAAAGCGCTTATGAGTAAGTTCATTGTTATCTTTGTTATCTTCAACCAATGTATGATGATTGAGCTGCAAGTCATGGTCTCAGTAATTATAAACGTTGTCCACCGCCTTCCACGTGTCACTCACATAACATTTCTGGCATGTGGTTTCAAATTCGGAATCAAAATTATGGGACCCCTCTTCTCGTCTTTTTCAATCCAAGACCACGCCGCTTTTACACACACTTTTCTAAAACTTTGCATTCTCTTCATTATTATTATTATTATGATCAAACTAATTTGCATATATAATCCCTTGAGTCTTGATATATACTCTCCTCTGACAGGAAATATATTATCGTTTTGTACTTTAATGGAGGAATTGGATTAGTATGAAAATAATCAATCATCGATCAGTTTCCTTTGGGTCGGAGAGCAACAAGAGAGTAAAACATATTGCCATGCATCTTTACTCTTTTCCTTTTCTTCTCCA